CACGAAACTGAATATACAATAGCTTGAATCTTCTGACAGTTGGAATCATTTTCGTTCATTTAAAAAAATAGTTCAGGTGCTAACCGTTTTCTGCTTATATTTCACTAAATCGCTTGGTTTTAAGAGTCTTGGTAAGCAAATGAAAGCAATCAAACCCATTAAACCTGGAATCGATTCTATGCGAATGAAGAATCGATCATGCGCAATATCTAATTCAATTGATTACAATATGTCATGAAACACATCACGAATGACCCAGTATCCTAACCTATAAATTCAAATAAGACCAAATCCATGGTGACCCACTGTATCAGTATCATTGCTACGATATCTCTTATAATCATCCAGCTTGCTGATGTAAGGAGCGCTCGGGAATGCGATTTTTGAAGCACCTATTGCACTAATTCCAGCGGAAAACGTTCTCACACCTACCAGTATTGGAATTCCTAAGCTAGCTAAAACAGCATCATCTCAGCAGTGCTTCCGAACACAGAATTGACCTTTCACATCTCATGATGATCATTAGTGTGACAAATTATGGCAGCGATCTCGAGACCCACAATCTCTGAGATAAATAAGCACTCAAAATTCAGATCTAAAAATTTTATTGACATGAATCATTCCTTCAAGATTGTATTGCGATTCAAATCGAACCAATCCCAGCCGTTGCCAGATAACCACTCCAGTTTTAGTCTGTTCAATAATCACTTGGGATACTCGATTATCCACTTAAAAATTGCAAATTCTAAAAAAAGAAAGCTGAAAAATGACAACTAAGACCGTTCATTTAGGAGCAGCTTTGTGAATTAATTAAGATTCCTGAGATCTTCACTAGTTCTTGGAGAACTCACAACACGTGATCCTTGAAAAGTGATCGGAATTAGTTCTAAAACGATACGCGCGATTTCGGAGACGCCTGACATTTCAATGCTACCGAAGAATATTTCCATATTCTTGTTAATCCTGAGACCATGTCATTTCTCAGTCAGTATTACCAAACTGAAGGCAATCATAAAATTGGATATTGACGAACTGTTCCTGCTGCTACGCATTGCTCGCAATACATTCTTCATGTTATGAGCATGACCATAAAATGAACAATTCTTCTTCGAAGAGTTTTACTTCTTCAGCAAATTGTTCTTCAATTGTTCTTCGAACTTCAAACATCTTTATTTTGACAT